GTACCTGAATTTGGGCAAAAATCAACCTAAAATACTTTGTTTCCGCAATTTTATTTATTAGTTCCCGCCTTACATTTGAATTCAAACTTGTCCCGATTTCGCCGCCAATCCTCTAGCCAATAGTAGAGGTGATTGAAAAGAAGCTCTAGAAGCTTCATTTTTTGCTTTTAGTGCTCCGTCTTTATGTCTTTGGTCTATACAGAGACGATCTACTGAAAGAGATTATTATGACGGGAATACTGCATTACCTCCAACGGCATTTATGACTCGTCTGGAATCAACTCGATACAATCGATAGTTGCTTGGATCGCTAATCTATCCATCTTTGGTTTCAAAATACCATAGGAGTCATAGGAGTTCTTGGAATTCTTACTTCTTATAGCCGACTGAAAAGGGCGATAGAAAATCGTATAGCTGGCTGTAGAAAGTGGTAAAAATCAAAAAATCATACGGCCAGGCTACACGAAGCGATAAAAATTATACAGCCGGGCTACAGTTCCTACCGCCGGGCTTTACACTTGATCGCCTGGATGTTGCTTTTTCGCCATCGGCTATAAAAGGCTATAAGAAATTGAGTATAAATTCTTGTGCTTTGAAAATCCTTAAGTTTGTACGGAATCACCGTAATATTTACAAAACGCACATTATATTTTCCTTTACCTACTACATATTTTTTTTCATCAATTAAAATGAGAATAATCCATAGAGAGTATGCAAACATTTCAAAGTCATGAGTTGAAAAACGCTGACTCCGCGAGATTAAATATAAGAGCCTACCACAAAGCGGAGCGGCGGCGGCGCACCGGCGCCTACAAACCTAACAGGGATACTTCACGCATTGCGCAATGCGTGAAGTATCCCTGTTAGGTTTGNGGAAGGAACGAAGAAAGGAATTCGAGAATGGGCCGATCAAAGATTACGAAAAACGTTCGATTTCTGTAATCTTTATTCCCGTTTGTGACATCCATGAGCCGAATTGTCTTGACTCTCAGTATAAAGGGACTCTAGACTGACCTATATGGATGGATCTTGGCCGCAGCGTAACGCGGCGCTTGAAGCAACTATTTCACACCAGAGGTATTGCACAGTATCATACAAAATTGAAGGCGCTCCAACATCTTAGAAATGTCAGGCATCCTTCAAAAGAACGGAGCTTTCCATTAAATCAAGATACTGCGGCCCAAAAAGAGAGCGGTAGTCCAAAAACTCACTAAGCATCCGTAATTAGTAACGTTTAGCATACACTTTATCGCCAGGCTGTTGCTTAATCGCCATCGGCTATGAAAGGCTATAAGAAATTTTGTTACCGGCCATAGAAGCTATTGGAAATCTTACAGCCGGCTGTGGGTCTATGGTATTTTGGAACACAGATTCTACTGCCAATTTTTACCAGGGTCGCAATTTATCGCGATCACTGCTATACTTGGGTATCGCCGTTCCGAGTGTCAGTCTCTAGTTCCATAGACAAGTATCTTTGTATTTCTACCGTATTTCGTAGGTAACTGTTAACTTATTCTGCAGTAAAACGTTAAGGGACTCGAGAAGTATTCTAAGTCTTTGACATACAAAGTTTTACGTTTTCACCAAGTTTGACGTTGTATTGAACTGGAAAGAAATTATCATTCCAACTTGGAAAGGGAGTTCTTACACTCTCCTGAAAAATCGTGTTTTCGAAAATGACATAAGTACTTAGGTTTTTGATTTGTCACCCGTGATGAATTTCCTCTCTTTATTTTCTATTCATCTTTATTTAAAAAAGCATCACAGCCTGACACCGAGAATTATGTTTTCGCGTTCGATATTTTCCTTTCGTACATGCTCGACGAAAACATCTGCTGGTCATGTCGGTGACATTTTGAAACCGCGCGGCCGCATAGGGCACACACTCGGCTACGATTCACGGGAGTCAGACAATCCTCCATGATCCTCAACCATAGAGCCATGAAAATCAGAAACCATGGAAACCATATCTCTTGGCTACATTAGAAAATTCCAGTGTTTCATAAGTGACATGCTACCTCAAGTTCAAATCTTACTCCCAATTATGAGAGGTCGCAAATAGTTGCGGGCACTTGTAGCAGGTACTGTCATGGTAAAAAATTGCAACTGCAACGGAATGTTGTGTAGGTTGCCTATCGATTAGGTAATTATAAAGGGAGTTTTCCCGCATATTTTCAATAAAATTGAAAAAGTTACCATTTTTTTGCTTTTCAATAATAAAATGTCTCTGCACATCGTAGAGCATTTTTCTTTGTCCTATATATATTAAAGCGGCATTATTTTATTGAGAAAATTGTTTAAAAATATTGTCATTTCACTGTAAAAAAAAAAAAAAAAAAACCTCGCTATTTCATTGCATCAAACTGCAACTATACTTATATTTTTAAAAAAAATTTGTTGCACGCTGCTCCTTGGGCTAGACGCTCCACCGCGAACTATGTCGAACAACCCATTCTATTTTTTTTTTTTGAGGGAAGGAAAACGGCTGAGGAACCACGCCCCCCCCCCTCACGTTGTAACTGCACGTATTGGCGAGTTCGTTTTGACGGGGTTTTTTGAAGAATCCTGCAACATAGTAGGGCATTTACTGACGTACAAAATTGCACCTGTTAATGGTGTAATGATAATAGATATAATGGACTTAATAGACATAAAATGAGAAAATAAGTATCACTGCACATGCTTCCTCATCAAAGCGTCTAGCGGAACACGGTAGACACATCGAAAGTTTCCTTTAATAATATCTCACGAGTGAGTCGCTACTTAACGTTTTCAGAACAACTCAGATTTTGTGTTTGACAAAAAAACCGAGGACCTCCAAAGTCTAAATCGGGCTCTAAACTAATTGGAACTATTTTAAAAAATTTTCCCAGTGCTAAATTTCGTCACTCTTCAAAATTTGAGATTTACCGTAGCTCAGCAGAGGGCCAGGATATTTTGGAGACTATTATGAATCTTTTTAGCCATTAAAACATGGAATAGGTACCTATTGTGCGGTGCTTGGGAATGCTGGATCTCTCGCTGAGCTGATCGACGGAGATGGAACGATTAGACGTAGGTATTTAAATCAAACGGACCTATCTTAATTGTGACATTTGCCTCGTCATTCAAGTATTCATATGAGTCGCAGGGACAATGGCACAATGGAGATAGTTCCTTTTGATTTAAATACGTTCGATTGGGATACCGGCGCCAGTAATCCCAATCAGTTCATGATCAGTCGACTATAGTTGTCAGCCATTGGACGCTCGGCCCTGAGCGTGAGCGTGTTCCCTGCACTCGACCCTAAGATTTTTCGCTCCCCAACAATAAAAACCAGGTAAATGGCGCAAAAAGTATTAATTTTTCTCCATTCTTAAATAGGTATACGTCTTTTTTCATTTTCATCCTTTTCATTCTTACAAAAATAGCTTCATTGTTTAAAGGTTTTACTAATGTCAATACACCTAGTATTGCTCACGCAACTCTCGTTCACTTTTCTCTTTTTATCATCCTAAGTTTTAGGATATAACACATGCAATAATATCTGTATGATCAATACCTGAATCTCACCATAAAGTTTCATTAATAGGTAATTCGACGGTTGCCATTTTTTGTGTCAGAGCGACGTGTGCGATGTCGTAGCATCAATTCGTCCCATAATTTCAGCTTTGTCATTTTTTTCAAATTTTGAGATCGCACTTCTGTTTCCATGAGACTAAAGAATTCATATACCAAAATTGACAAAGAAATTCAAAGGTAATAAAGGCATGATTTTTTTTAGAGGAAAAATATCGCATTCGACACTGATATCGAAACCGCACTCGAACAGGGGCGTAGGTAGGAGATTTCTCTGGGGGAGGGGGGGGCAGCCCCCTAGGACCCNTTTTTTATATAAAAAAATCATTTAGATAACAGATATGTTTTTTTTATACTTTTTTTAGAAAAACAAAAATTTGTTCTGCTACTAGGGTTAGGATATAACACATGCAATAATAATGATCAATACCTGAATCTCACCATAAAGTTTCATTAATAGGTAATTCGACGGTTGCCATTTTTTGTGTCAGAGCGACGTGCGATGTCGTAGCATCAATTCGTCCCATAATTTCAGCTTTGTCATTTTTTTCAAATTTTGAGATCGCACTTCTGTTTCCATGAGACTAAAGAATTCATATACCAAAATTGACGAAGAAATTCAAAGGTAATAAAGGCATGATTTTTTTTAGAGGAAAAATATCGCATTCGACACTGATATCGAAACCGCACTCGAACAGGGGCGTAGGTAGGAGATTTCTCTGGGGGAGGGGGGGCAGCCCCCTAGGACCCCCCTAGCTACGCCCATGCACTCGAATGTGATATTTTTCCTCTGAAAAAACCCTGCCTTCAATACGTTGAATTTCTTTCTCAAAGGTACATGAATTCTTTAGTCTCATAAAAACTGCGATCTCAAAATTCGAAAAAAAAAAATGACAAGTAGCTGAAATTATGGAACGAATTGATGAGATATTTCGCACGCTCTGACACTTCGGGCCTTACGATTGAACACAAGGGAGAATTTCATGAGCGCCGCCGCCCGCGGCAGACTATGATCCTGAACTATTAGGAATAGGAAAAAATAATTCGGATAATGACTGACGAAAGTTTCGTAACTGATGTTTCTTAGTCGCTAATTTCGAATTTGTCAAGTTGCCTTCATTTTAAGACCCTGACCTACTACTTAATTGAGGGCAAGTTCATAGCACGTTGCGGCCCTACGTGCTGCCAGCTCGAAACGCGCACTGACGCCTACAAACTTAAAAGGATACTTCAAGCATTGCGCAATGCGTGAAGTATTCCTGTTAGGTTTGTAGGCGTCAGTGTGCGATTGTAAGAAACACGCCACGGCTCTCCCGGCGCGGCACGCGGGTGGGGAACGATTTCTTTCGGGGAGAGCTCCCTGGCGAGGAAACTCGAGTATCGTGAGTTTTTTTTTTTTTAAATTAATTTATTTAATTTAATCAAATTACACACTGGTCGTGTGCAATAATTAGTGAACTCTTGAATCTCGACGCTTGATGAAGTGTGATAATGAAAGGCGGGTCGTGTGCCATGCGCGCTGCGGACAGCGCGGCGCGGCGCAGGGCGGCTCATGAAATTCTCCCCTGTGCGCTGTCGCGGGTCTTATCTGATCTTTAGTATTTTGAATTTAGCGCGTAAACGCCGCGTTACGTCACCACCGGTGAGCCCGCTCTCTACCGGCACAATGTTGACACTAATCCTGTTGACCATGATTTCGTGCGCGTTGCGAGCAACTTCAAGCCGGTTTTTCACCCGAAAAGTGACTTTCCTCGCTCCAATCGTTTGCAGTCTTCCGATCTCTCAAGCCCTAAGCTCAGCCGTCATGGACAATTTCAAAAGTTTGGAAGTCGTTCCTGATGTCATCGATTCCTTACCCAAAGAACCTGCCGAGGTAAGGCTTCACCATGTCTTATCTCACTCCATTGATAAGAGGCAATGGAACCTCATTGTCATCTCTCTTCTCAACAATTCTTTCTATGAATTCTACGCATGTAGGTCCCGTAGATTAACAGGGGTTTACCACACTCATTTGTGTTTCGAGGAAACCTCGGAGAACTTTCTTTGGAAAGTTCTGGACGAACCCTAGCGAGACAGGTTTCATCTGAGGGGGGTACCCACCGGACTTTTCCTGCTTGCACAGGGTCTGCTTTTTTTCACCAACGAATTCTATTCAGTCATTATTATTTGCCTCAGTCTTCCCAAACTGCTAATTACTCCCACTCTTGAGTTATTTACTCATAAAATTTGGTTGCTGCATTATTACATAAGCAGCCCCTGTCACCAGCATCAGGTTCCCTTATCTACTTTGTAACATGCTGATAAGGGTGCAAGAGGTCTTTCTAATTTTACATACTGATATCTGGAACTCTATCCAGTAACCCTGCATTGAAGGTCATGAACGTTCACTCAGAATGCAGATGTTGATGTTGGGATAGACACTTGCAGCAAGTTGGGGCAATTCGTGAAGGGCAAATAGTAGGTACTTGCTTGCACCGTCATGATTCTGTAATTCTGTTAGTACATAGTGAGGCATGTTTAGGAGTTTTGTAACCGAGGCACACTTATTCGTTTTTGCATCATAAAGATCCTAATAATAAGTACCTTTCTTTCTACGTATCGGTGGTGAAACTGCAGGAATGCGCATCTCCATTGCAGTGTTTCCAATCTCTACTACCATTTTGTTTTATTTAAGGAAAACAAAGCAACGTCATCACTTGAAATGTTTAGATTTTGTTCTCCCTCAGGAGGAGAAAAACCTGGGAAGCTCATAATAAGAAGTTGAGTACTTTTTTATCTATAACTTAGAAAATAATGGGATGTCTGCGACATCGCAAACCAAGATTCACGTTCCTGTATTTTCACCATTGATATTTGATTCTTACCTTGCACTGAATGTCAGATCAGGCCTGTGAAGGCATGATATTAATACATTAGAAGAGTCTTGGTTTCTAATTTCCTCTTAAAAATACCCTGAAAAGAGATTTCTTGAAATGATTGTCACCTCACAGCACTTAGAAAAATGTCGTCCAATAGTTATCTCCTTAATACCATTTAATTCTTATGTATTTTGTTTGCGTGTAATTTTATTATAATATCTACTCTCTTGGTCCTAGCCGAGTGCGCCAGGGCTCATGGTAGTCCCCTTAGATCTTCCAAATTGATGCCTTCCTTTTATTTCATTGACTGTAATTGATTATGAAGTAATCTACATTCATAAAAGAAACAATCAATTCATCCAAGTAGCAAAGGAATTTAAAATTGAAAGCTTACTCTAAGTCAGCCTTTCCCATTTTGTTAACTCACCGAATTGAGAGTCAATGAAGTTTCATGATTCCTTTGCTCTTGGTAAAACGCAAGTGATTGACCCTCATGCATTAAGGACCTACACTTGAAGTAGTTTGCAATATTTCCAATTTTGTCAAAACCCACTTTGCCCTTTTTACTATCGGCCTTTTCGTTACTTACTTCCCCCTTCCTGATTTTGATTCCTCAGTGATGGACTTTTCTTTTGTCTTGTCTTCAACAGGTTTCATACCCCAGTGGTGTGAAAGTGGAATTCGGCAATGAATTAACACCAACTAAGGTCAAAGACATTCCAACAGTTAAATGGAATGCAGAATCTGACGCTTACTACACCCTCTGCATGACAGGTAATGCATCCAAGAGTTTTTGCTGTAATATGTTGAGCGTAGGTTTTAGATCTAACCAAGTTTCTGAAGTGCCGAAAATTACATATTTCGGACTCGAATCAATGATGAGAGAACCAGAGTTGCTATTGAAAAAGGAAAGTTCAAAGTTTAAACTGCAAAGTGATTTTCTTACTTAAAAAGCCTGCGTTCAATTTCAGATCCCGATGCCCCAAGCCGAAAGGACCCCAAGTACCGTGAATGGCATCACTGGCTTGTTGGAAATATCAAAGGTAATGATGTATCCTCTGGAGAAACACTGTCAGCCTATGTTGGATCTGGCCCTCCACAAGGAACCGGTGAGCAAAACTTCATTACCGTGTGTTGTAAGAAGAAGGTTTTCATTTTTCATCGCACTTTAAGAGCTTCATTTTCAATTTTCAGTCCCTCAAAGATGAAATGAACACTCAATATTTTTACATACACTCAACAGTCGGTTGTCTTGTTGAGGTATAAACTGCCTAAATTTTATTCTTTCATTTGTTGTTATTTTTCTTAGGAATCAATTAGAACACGGAGAGAACATCCTTTTGCACAGTTCCGTTGCAAATTCTGGTTATTTTCTTTTGATAATCTGATAATAAGACTTGTCCCATAGCACTTAGGAAATGGCCTCTAATGGGTCCAACAATTTTGCTCTTAAAGCGTACAATATTGCTAGCCTTGAAAAATTGTTGACAAATGAGAGTGGATAAGTCTTATCTATGAAAGATCTAAACAGTGGCAGGAATACAGCCAGTATTCATTCTACGGCTCTGAAAGAGCAGAAGGGGGGGGGGTGTTAATTATTTTGTACACTCATTTTTCATAATTTTGCTTGCTGGAATTTTAACCGTGTTCTTGAAAAAGATTTCTCCTCTGTCAGACTTCAATTGTAAATCACCCAGAAATACTTATTTTAGTCCTTAAGCTCATGTTGAAAAGGTTCTTTTTTCTTGTTAGTTTTTGCCCTCGACCTTTATAAATGAAAATTTATAGACAGAAACTTTATAAGTAGATGTTCCTTTACACTCATTCTTATGAAATAATCTGCCAAAATCATTTGTTCCCAATGATGTACCTACTGCATGAGCTTATTAACAATTAGCTGTTGTTGTGTACTGAATTTTAGGGAATAACGAACTCAACTTTCCTCTTATTTAAGTACATTTGATCTACCTTTTATCACACAGTTACTGTTTGGTGCATTGGTCTTAAAAATGTATATTGAATTATTTTTAAAATCTCTGGTATTCATTCATTAATTTTAATCATTTATGAGCTAATTTTCTTTTTTGCAGACCTTCATCGCTATGTCTTCTTGGTCTACAAACAACCAGGAAAATTAACTTTTGATGAACCCCGTCTTCCTAATACGTAAGCATATCTTCTTTATTTCTAGAAAGGTTGATTATTGTTTATAGTCAACTGCTCACTAAATACACCAGTTCAGTCCCTGTTGAAATTCGTTGATGTCAGGTTTTACGTTCCTTAGGACCTTCAAAGCTCATTAACCCATTTAAATTGAACTTTTCTCAAGCTTTTTTATTAACTCAAAACTGGAAAGCAATTTTTCAAACACTGTTTTTCTCCTTTAGAGTTCATGAACACATTTTCGAAAATGTAGCAGGGCTTCATAATTGGCGATTCAAAAAAATATTTAAAAAAGAAAAAAAAATCCCGCTTTTCTGAGGCTTAAAATAATAACAGCAAGATCTCTGGTGATCTGCAAAATAGGGAAAGTCAGAGATATCTAGAGTGGTTCATTTAAGCAGCCTGATCAGTTTATCTGTTGCAGGTTCTTTTAGTTGTGAAGTTGGAACTTTTTTTAATTTAATTTTTTTTTTCGAAATTTGAAATAAAAAAACTCAAGAAAACAACGCGACAAGGCTTGCATTGTCGAAAACTTACCCTGAAAAGAGATCTAAACTTCATTGAGACTGCCATGACAGTCCAAAATGCTGTATTTCCATCTGTCAACTCTGCAGTCACATTATCTAAGAAAAATTTCTTCTTTTGTGGATACTGTTTATGCTATGTTCTTCTACTATGCTTTTTTTTGGCAGATCCGGTGACAACCGTGGGAAGTTCTCCATCAAGAACTTTGCAACCAAGTACAAGCTGGAAGGCCCCGTGGCAGGCAATTTCTACCAAGCTGCATGGGACGAATATGTTCCAATTCTGTACAAACAACTCGGGGCTTAATTTCTTTTCTAATGGCTACAAAGCTCACCTTTTCACCCCGCCAGTTTTCTCAGAAAGCAACCGTACCACCGCTTGTAGTAACAAGTTCTAGAGCACTGTCTGTCTCATTATATTCTGTGCAGTTAATCTAATCTTCCTTTAAAATGGTGAGAAAGCCTGAAAGATTCTCTTTTTACTGGAACATGAAGTGTATCCAAAGGATTGCCTAATAGATGAAAACAAATTAATTCACAAAGTTTATGTCCTCTGTTAGAAACTTCTTATGGGAACTGAAATTTAAAAGTATTTTATCTTAGTTTTATCATGTTTTTAAGTAGGTTGTTTGGATATTCAATTCTGGTTATTTAGTTTTTAAAATGCTTTTTAAAATTTAAGCAGTGCTCAGACCCATTTTAAACTCATCTTGTGGGCCCCACATATCTTTTTAAGATCAAAGATTTTGAACTAACTTTATATCTTCCACTCATTTTCAGGATACTCATCTCATGATTTTTAATCCATAATGTTTTTAAAGTGTACACTGTACTCAGATTTAGCAATTTTGTATCCCCCTCCTCTGAAAATGTACCCACAGGAGCATATTTTTAAGTCTGATTTTGTCTGAACAATCATTGATTGAATATATTTTTAATTTTATAGCATTCAAGTGACCCTTCATTTTCATTCTCTTGCATGCTGTTAGCTGCTTTCTGAGTTGTACTGTTGGCTGCTGCGTATAGGAATGCATTCACATTGGAGTGTTGCAAAATCTCAGCGGACATGTTATTTTCTAAATTAATCATTGGTGGATCTTTAGGTCTGGATACTCTGGGAAGGTCTCTCATCATTATGAATGCAAATTTCGGAAATTTTCAGAATAATTGGAAAAATGATTTGTCTATGATGAAATGGAGTGGTTACAGAAGTCTAGAAACTCTGTATTGTAAGCAACCCCGTCTGCGCACCAACCGTCCAACAGTCCAACAGAAACGCACCAGATTGCATCAACTTGGAATGAAGAAAAAAAGGTTTTAGGTTTTATTCCACCAGAAGAGCTAAAGCTAAGGACAATGGGTCGGGTTACCGAATCGTGTTTTGATGCTTGATTCTTGCAGATCAGCTAAAAATAACAGGATCCTTCCAAACTGCAACTTTCTACGTCCAATATTAACTGAGATATTGCCCTTCAAAAAGTCGGGTCTTTCAAGTCATCCACGGCGGTAGTGACACCCTTGGTTTCTTTCTCCTCTGTCCTATCAGTGATGCAGAGGGCGCAATGCGGAAATTTAACAACATTTAATATAAACCAACTCAAGAAACAGAGGGATTTGCGCTTCAAAGATCTTCTCATCAGGAGATAACGCGGAGAGATTAGGCAGTCAGACAGTTCACCACAGTTTGTTTGTGTTTAATGTCGTTGAAGTTTCTACAAGAATCAAGCATCAAAACACAATTCTTTGACCTACGTAACTAACCCAGTTTTAATGACTATTTTCACTTTCAAAATAGTTTGTCTCCATTTTGAATTTTCGACAGGAGAAAGTCTATGACTGAATAAATAAGTACTTCCAACTCATTTTTTTTTTTCGAAAATGCAACTAGGTATGTTCCTGTTAAACTCTGTTTATATGTAACGAACAAAGGTAAAGGAGCCCTATTAACCTTGAATGTGCCACTTTAACTGTACTGAGGCCAAAAAATTAACTCACAGTCCGACATGTTGAATCCCGATTTGTACAAAAATCTCCCAATCAAAATCTTAATTATTAGTTGCAGTTAAGAGACTGCTTATTCCTTCCCAGTTCACCAAACTTTCACCACACTTCTTTCATTGGTGTATGTAATTGTATCCCCACATTAAATTTCAAGGAAAATTCAATTCTTTGGTGATCTTAAGCGTTGTGCCCGAAACTACTTGCCTCAAGCAGCAGCCCAATGATATCAAGTTTTAGAGGCACTTTGTACTCCGCAATACACTAACTACCTTCGAAGATTCTCAAAAAGGTAAATCACGCCTGAATATTTGAGTGTCATTTCAATAGAGGTGCTGAACTTTTCAACTTCTGCGAGAAAAGATGAGCCAAGATGTACTTAAAATAGATGTTACAGGGAGGCTAAGTAAGTGGTGCTACTAATACTCTCTCTTGTAAAAATTACCACCATCAAGGCATCTTTCATCCAAGAGCGAATTTTCCTAATGAAACCTGACTTTTTGAGACTTTAAGGAGCACCGAATTTTCTTCAGTACTTCCTTTATTCATAAGATGATTACAAAACATAAACAATGATCACTCAGCAGTGTGAGAAAAGAGTTGAAAGGAAAGATGGGACAAAATTAGCAAAATCCATATCTGGTAAAAAATGTAGGTAATTAATTTTAATAAGAGATGATCATTTACAGAAAGTTATAAAGCTTAGATAGCCAGCTTTGACTGGTTCCTACCTCGCGTCAAGAAATTCTTTCTGTACCTTGCAGAGCTAAAAAAATTAGTTTTTTAACAGCCGAGTTGATGATAACAATAACTCATGAACGCCTCAACTTGGAAAAAAAATAAAAAAAGGGCAGGTAAAATAATAAGAATTCAAGGAGTTCCTCAAATTTTTAAAACATGAAATTTTCCTACCATTCTTGCATAGAAAATTTTATTGCTCAACTTTCCATTGCTGTAAGTACCACGTACTAATAACTAGCATTCATCACTCCCACAACTTCTCAGTAGAAAATTCTCTATTGATAAGGATAGAGACGTTTATAATAAATGGTTCAAAATTAGAAATTGAATGCAAATTCTAAACGATACAATTGCATATTCAATCCAACCATCTCATTCTAACAATTGCAAGTCAAGCAAGAGATCAATTTAAAGAAGAAACCTTCAAAGCTGGTTATTTTTTCACACAGCGAGGCATCCTTGAACAATACAAAGCTCTGTAACTCCTGAACTCCTAACTTCTCAGACAATAAAAATATTCGTAAAGTTTAGCTCCTCAGCAATAACTAATTACCAAAATTACTGGTATCAATGCTTAATATTATAAACTTGAAGTACAAAAACATATCACAATGAGATCAAACAAAGACAACCGTGATCGCGATTGAACAAAAAAAAAGGACTGAAAACGTGAAGGAGGCATTGATCCTTGAAATGGTAAACATGCGCACCAATAAAGGAATTCCAGCAATATGTAAGTCTAAGTTTGCAATGTTGAAGGTTTTCTAGAGCATTCAATTACTTTTTTTCAAGGAAAATATGCATCATTAATTTTAAAACTTGACAGGGCTTCTTTTCTACATGTTGCCCTCATCAATTAATTTCATGAAAATTTTGCTTCGCTTTAATCTGAAAGAAATAAAAAAAAATTGCTGAAACTCGGAAACATGGCACCTGAAACAAGTCTTATTAACCTGTATCACCAACATTCAGTTGATTGAAAAAATAGAACAAGACATTGTGATAAAAAAAATTAAAAAATGATAGGAGGATAAAATACTGAAATCAGAAATTTATCAAATGGGAGGGGGATGAAAAGGATAATAATTTCGCAAAATAAACCCATCTTGGTGGGCATTCTTAGAGGCCTTTTTGCCTAAATGTACCTAAAGTTATGAATTGTGTGTCTCTTCCAAAAAACAATGTTGCTGTAAAATTTGAAAACCAAAGCCTTCAAAAATATTACTCAAAACTTGAAATTATCAATGAAAGAAATAAAAGTCCCCCTCTTCATAAAAAAAAGAGGGCTGCAGAAATATTACCACTAAAGCCTTCTTTTTCTTGAATGCCGCACACATCGGGACCTCTGAGTGCACATTTAATTCAGTCTTCAAATTGTCTCTTTCGATTAATTGATACTACCAAGAAAATTCGAATCCATGACTAAGATGCATTTACGAGTCTAATCACAGCTGCCTTGGCCTAAAACTAATTTGCTTATTGATATGTACCTACAACTAGTTCGATAAAAATATAATTTGATTTGCAGTGGCTCCGAGATACTTTTAGCCTCCTCGGATGAGTATTCACAGTCTCCATCATTGAGCAATCAGTAACTCGGCAGACCTATCTAGCTGTCACTGCCCATCAGCTACACGACTGTACTTGAATCTTTCCTTACACCTAACACGACCTGGAAAAGTTAAGGATACATCCGACATTCAGTAAAAATTTCACAGGAATTTTTCAGAGTGTTCTCAGAGATTTGATCTATTTCAAATTTTGACACTACTTAAACTTTATTCGGTTTGATTGTTAGTCAATTTTGTGGTGTTTTCCTAAATTTCTTCAATGCAGGTCTCAAGTCAGAAAATGGCTCAAAAATTCTGAAAAAATAAGAGCGAAGATTTGCTAAATTAAAAAACTAGACCAATAGCTGAAATCAACTGAATAAAACCGGCACCTTGGAGGCGCAAAATATTTTATTAGATGTCGTTAATCTATCATTAGACATCACGAGGCAAAAGGAGTCTATCCACAAATAAGTCTTCAAAAAGACCCTACTTCACTCTTGTCCTCCGCTTTGATAAATACACGTTTCAATTTTTGAAGTCATTTGAAAGTTAGATTCCTTCTGCTTAATAGTGTCCAAATGTAGCACAATTTTTCAATCATAAATTCCATATTACATTGACAAGACTAGAATTCAAACTAAGAAATATTGAGCTAATGATTTTAATGAATTCGAACAGGGCGAAGCTGCAATTTTTCTCAAAGCATCAGATTTCTACCAACTTACGAGCCTTTGGACTTTCAACAGAAAATGAGAGTTTCTTTCTCCGCATCACACGATAAGATACGCCAACATTTCTACAAACTGAGAGAGACTTCGTTCAGTAATGGAGGTTCAGCTTCAGAATAATTTTTCAAACCACATAATATGTCATCTTTGCTGGCTCCAATCACAAATATAGGCAGTCCACAATTAACCGTAAACATGATACTTCATATAACCTTTTTATATTACTTAATCGATGCTTGTATTTTGAAGGGTCTGCCTTGACACTCCAGGGTAATTGGTTAAATTTTTAGTTGCTCTAAGAAAACTACTTGCCTCCTATTTAAATAAAACCCAACCGATAGGATGGGTACCTAAGAACAGAGGTAGCCTGGAAAACACATTCAAGAGAATGTTAAATCCTGGAGAAGTATGAATTTGTAATATTCTAACGTTTTCAAACTATATGCAAGAAGTATTAGCTTTCCTAATTTTCCGAAATTTCTTGAGGACACAGTTGCACATGATTCTTAGTCTAATACATTTTTGTTTCTAGGCACTGATATGAGCTTACTGAGTTACATATTTATGACTGAAAACAATGTTTTTTGGCATTAGATTAATGTGACGATTTTCAAACTGACCTGAGGTGAAATTGACTAGGTGACGATGTACGGGCTGTGAGCAGGCGACCGAGGTTGATGAAATTTGAGCAGCTCACTTACGGTGATTGCTACCTGAACCAAACCTTTCTCTTCTAAAACATCACCAGCACAGCACAGCAAATTCTGTTGGGGAAAAAAAGAGCAATATATAGAGACAATAAACAAATCGATGATGTTTACCTGTTAAAATAATTGATAGAAGTCATACTTACTGTGAGGGAAAATTTTGTGGCTATAACACTATCATTGCTGTAGCAGGAGCAGCTTCATTTTGATACATTCAGCAAAT